ATGGCGACGTCGTTCCATGTCACCTCGTTTTTGGTCCGCATCACATCAAACACAGCCTTGGCCTCTCCAATATTTCCACATTTTCCATACATGTCGACCAGCGCAGTTCCCACTCGAACGTCACAAAGAATGAAAGTGGAATCAATGCTCTTGTGAACACTCTTGCCTTGTTCTAAGGCATTGCAACTGGAGAATCCATCCAGAATGCTAATCAGCGTAATTTCATTTGGTCGAATCCCTTCCTGATCCATGAGCTTGAATATGCAAAATGCTTCTTTGGAATTCCCAGCTTGAGAGTATGCAGAAATCATTGAGTTCCATGAAACAACATTCTTGAGTGTCGAGGGCATTTTGTCAAAGATATCTCTCGCCTCGCGGATATGCCCGTTCTGGGCATATGCGGCAAGCATGATAGTCCAGGAGAAAACGTTCCTCTTAGAGATTGAATCGAAGACGTTTTTAGCATCGCTGATGCTGTTGCACTTCCCGTACATGCGTATAAGAAGGTTGGCAAAGAATGAATCGGATTGAGAAAGATATCCTGCCTCCAGAAGGCTTTGGTGGAGTTTCCTGCCTGTTGTGATTGACTTGCACTGACTGAGCAAAGCTTCATATGATCTTTTCTCAGTTTTCTCATGACAAACATCCACAAGGTTATTCCTCGATAGCATCCAACGGTTACCCCTTTTGAATTAAGAGTTTTGATTTAATATTTTTAATCTAGTAGGAGCTGTGCATCCAGGGTGAAGCATATCTGCGGTTGTTACTCTTGAATAGAGTACTTAGAAGCTAATGCTTCTGATGGATCTTACTGCAAATGCAATGTTACACAGTTGTAGTACCCTTGCAGTGAAAGTCTTTTGACAATTTAGCTGTGGTGGCAAATTCTCAAACAGGCAATGGTCAATCCTTCCTCGTTAAGGTTTCTACGAGCTTGCATAAATTTTTGTGCAAAGATGATTGTATATATATATATGCTTGCAGACGCTCTTGTGGCTGAAATACTCGGCTGGCATCCTTGGTTGGCTGTGGCAGTTCTCACAGTATGTAGGTTCCAAGCTGCAACATGCTTGAGCAGCGAATTTGTCTTTCAAAATTGGATAGAAAACCTCTTGAATACTGTATATGTGCCATGGATCTTCCATTAAAAGGATCCTGCCTTTCTCCATTTGCAATTCCCTTTGTTATATGAAACAACTTTTGATGATCTGCAGACATCATAAAAATAATTCTTCTAATCTTAACCACCTGATTAAGAAACCACACCATCCCTATCAGATTAAAATCATGTGCACAATCTCCTCTGGCCAACCATATTTTGCAGCTGCACCATGATAACACTCTTAAGAAGTCTCACCTCTTTTGTTTGTGGCAACAGCAATACTAAATGCTCACTCTAACAAACATAAGAGAGATACTGTGGTTTGTAGAACTTGCAAGTTACTATTAAAGGTTTATTGAGGGATTTGCTAGGGGTTCAAAATGTATAGTAAGGATAATGAGTAGATTAGATATAATTTACCAATTTAAGGCATTATATAACTTCTTGTTAAAAAATTTAGTAGTTGATAGAGTACGTATATTTTCATGTTATGTTGAAATACCATTAACCTTCATTTGGCTTTATTTTGTGTACTAATTTTAGTATTAAAATGCTAGAAGCTTTAGGATTATTCCAATGTTGCATCACACTTTTGTTTTTTTGCTCTTTGGTTGTATACATGTTTTGTACCTTCACTCTTTAGTTATACACTCAGGAGTTTGGCTCTATCCCAGCTTAAGGCTTTAAAACTCAAATTTTACTTTGTTGTCCTGTATTACATTAAAGTGAATTGCAAACAAGCCAACATTTTGTTGAAAAGTTTCTAAAGTAGATGATAGAAAAATATAACTTTGAGTTTCAGCATAAAAATACATTTAAGATTGGCTAAAGCTTTGGATTATAAAATACTTCTAGAGCAAGAAGAGATCAAAAGAAAAAAATGATGAAGTCTTAACAATGAGTGTTGATATGGAAGAATATTGAGATATTTATAACTTTTTGGAAACAATGAATTTTTTAAAAGGTTGAAAATGTGCTAAGAGGAAGATCATATATAAATCAAAACCATTCACACTAATAAGTGATTAACTTTATTGAGTTGGACGAGATAACATACTTCAAATAACAATTAAACAGAATGAACAAAAGGAAATCATGAGGCATTGCCATAAAAAATATTATAGTGAACACTCCTGTAATTATATAGCTAAGAAAATTGTGAATGCAAAATTTTTAGCTAACATTATTTTAGAACATGAATTAATATATTTGTCAGGTATTTGGAAGAAGAATCCTTCAGTTCAACTAGAAGGTCTTCATTCAATTTTGTTGATAATACCATTTGAAAAATGGGGGATAGATTCCAATTCTTATAGTGGCCACATTAAAAGAAGCCTTATCTCAAAGGTAATAGACTACTTTATTAAGTGGGTTAAAATAATAGCAATTAAAACCAACATAAAAGGAAGTTATGATAAACTTTCTTGTCCAAAATGTATGCATAGCGTTTGGTTACCTGTTAGAGATTGTTATTGACCAAAACTCATATTTATTCAATAAAGTAGTTAAAAAAACTAATGAGGAAGCTATTGATTAAATATCAATAGTCAATATCATATTATTCACAAGCTAATTGGTTGGTGGAAAGAATAAATAATGTATTGTGCAATATTCTAGAAAAATTGATTATTAAAAAAAGAAAAATTGGTACAAAATGGTTGTTATATCATTATAAGTTTACAAAACCACACACAAAGTAATAACAAAGTTCACTTCTTTTCAATTAATTTCTAGGACATAAATATACTTTCAATTGAATTGCAAGAAGAGTATGATTCTATAAAAAATAAACTTGATAATTTTTGTAGTACCAAATAGTAGTGGTGATCTTTGGAAGCTAGCTGAGTGAGCTTTAATTTCAAGTCCTTTTTATCACTTAGTTTATGCTTCAGCTCTAATCATAAACTTGGGATTTCCAACTCTTAGAGCTCCTTGGATTTTAAAACAAAAAGACACACCAAAACCAAGAATCCCTACAAAATGTGCAAGTCCACATCCTATATTGGTGATTAACTCTTTGATCAAGTATTATAAATTGCTACAACAGCTCTACACTTTTTTATAAAATTGTAATCAAATTTTGACCAAGTCATGGTAATTACTGATGACATGTGAAATAATATCAAATGACATCCTACACTCTCTAAATAAGTATTAGAGTAACTTTGATCCATGCCTTCATATAAAACACCACTATAACACCAAGTAAAACAAGAAAATTAATAAACTTTATAGAATGGTGGAAAAAGCTATTTAAATTTTAAAAATACCATTTGAATTTTTCTTATATTATTGTGCTCTAAATTCCAATATTTTATATTTTAAAGAACTTACTAACTAGATCCCTCCCTAAACCTTATAATTACAGTCTCACACAAATATTCTAGAAACAGTTTATATTTAAAACTTTCTATCTTGCACTAGAAGGTGGATGGTGTAATTTATATTAAATTTTCAATTTCAATTTAATATGAACAAAGCATAAGAGGTTATTACATTTCCTCACCAAATAAAGTAATAAAAATATATACTTTGGCTTGTTTTAATCTGTTCAGGAAAAGTGAAACTAGTGGAATACCACCTGGCAGTGAAGAATCCTAGCAAAGAATGGCGATGGCGGCGGCGTCTAGCGCCTCCGACTCCGATCTTGCCTTCCAAATGTCGGTGGGCGATGCCCTCGTTGTAGTTGTTCTCCATTGCTTGCTTCTGTTTGTGTTTGGGCGGATGGTTTCTCGTTGCTTGCACGGCCTAGCTGGATGGAGGAACAAGCTCCTGGGCGTGGAGGGCGACGCGGCGCTGGCAATTCGCGTCCAGGAGATGGAGCTGGAGGCGCTCCAGAAGCAGGAGAAGGATCGCGAGATAGCGGCCAAGCTGCTCAAAGAGCTGAACGAGAGCGCGGACCAGCTGCTCCACGACGACGCCATGGTTCACGAGATCGATGAGATGGACGAGAGGGAGTGGGAGGAGAACGGTGACTTGTACGAGCGGCCTTTCCAGTCGGGGATCACGGGGACGTTCTTCCGGGTTTATTTCAAAGGCTACTCGGTGTCCGAGGGTGGTGTGATTGTTGGTGCCGCTCTTGGTGGATCGATCAGGGATTCCAGTGGAAACGAGCTCCTCCAGCTCAAGAGATACGTCGCAACTCCTACCGGGAAGAACGTCGCGCAGTACTATGCTCTCGTTGACGTTCTCAAGTCGGCTCAGTCCATGGGAGCTCGCAAGATCATTGCTTACACGGACTCTCGCCCTCTCCATAACCAGGTTGGTTGTTCTTCTCTTCTTTCGCCAGCTTTTCCTTAATTGAAACGCTTTGTTTCTTTTTTCTCACCTAGATCAAGGGATATTGGAGGGTCTCTACGAAGGCTATGAAGGCCGAGTATGACAAGGCAATCGGGCTCATCGATAGTTTCGAGTCGTTTGATATCAACCTTGCGCTCCACGGAGAGAACTGGCCAGCAGACAATCTAGCGAAGTCGGTCTCGATCAGCCAGAGGCAAAACACGGCTTCCAGCAGCAGGTCCATGTTTCACTGCGTCATTTGCCTCGAGGACGTCCAGGATGCGGACATTTACACTCTCGCCGAGTGCTCTCACAAGTTTTGCTCATCGTGCGTGAAGCAGCACGTCGAGGCTACAGTGACAACCGGGCGGACTTTCCCGGTGGCTTGCCCGCAAGTCGAGTGCACGAAGAAGTTCACCGAGGGCGAGTGCAAGAAGCTGCTGTCCGAGGCGGCTCTCAAAGTTTTCATGAAGAAGATAGAGGAGGAGCGCATCCCTGATGCGGAGAGAGTCTACTGCCCGTATCCAAAGTGCTCGGACTTGATGGATAGAAGGACTTTCCTCGACCCCAACCCCCGGAAGTTGTGTGGAGCTTGCCACAGATACTTCTGCCTCGACTGCCGAGTTCCCTGGCATACATTCTCGACTTGTGCTGGATACCAGCGGCTGCCTCTCGACTTAAAAGATGCCGCGGACGCAAAGCTCTACAGGCTCGCGGAGAACCAGAACTGGAGGCAGTGCAAGAAGTGTAGGTGGATGATTGAGCTCTCGGAAGGGTGCTACCACATGACTTGCAGGTATGATTTTTCTGCCTCGTTCTTTTTCTTGTGTACGATACTTGGTGTTCTGGTGCTATAGGTGTGGCTACGAGTTTTGTTATACTTGTGGCATGGAGTACCGGAATAAGATACAAATGTGCACCTGTAAGCTTTGGGACGAACACTACATTGTTAGAGAGGAAGAAGATTTCTCGGACGATGGAAGCAGCAGTGACGAAATGGATCTTCATGACCCGTTCTACAAGACACGGCTCTGTAGATACTTCGCCAAGGGGCACTGTCGTAATGGAGTCAACTGCAGGTTTGCTCACGGTATTCCCGAGCTTGTTCATGTGTTTGTTTCCAGGTTGGCAATTAACTAATTCAATGTTTAATTTCTAATATGAAAAACTTGACATTAAGTTAACATTGAACATATCATGATCACAAAGTTAGTATTTAAAATATGCTTGGATATTCTAAAGTATCCTTCCAACCTTTGTTATTTATTTAGATTAATCTTGTATTTATATTTATACACATGTTTATAATTTATAAACTTTCTTAAACCCTTTCTATGCAATAAGATTAATCTTGTGTTTATAAATTACAAACATGTTTGTAATTATAAATTTTATTTGATCAATTGGATTAATAAGTAAGAATAACACTATGGTTGTGATTTTCCCATATTATATATAATCAGGGTTTAAACTTTGAACTAGTTAAACACTATTTACACCTATACTTAATATCTTTAAAAAACCATATCTGTGTTTAATAATAAAAGAGAATTAATCTAAATGAGATGGTAAAATATCTGGGTATATTCTAGCAATATCCACTACCACAAAGGTTTTTTTAAGTAAATAAATTGCTATGCATTACATGTAGCAATGCTTAGTTTGCTTAATAGTAGGGGATGCACAGGCACAAGAGATCTCCAGACCAGGAGAAAAATCTATGGCAATGCTTTTGTCCATGGGCCTGTTGATTGAGAAATATCCTAGAATATACTTGGATATTCCAGCTCCAATATATTTAAGAGTATTCATCGTAATATTCATAAAATGATCAAAATATTGTACAATGTAGAGTAAAACTATATTTTATAGGATTGACGGAATATATTTTTACTAAAACACTAAGGTTACTCAAGACATGGATTTATATTAATCTTCATATACAGGGGAAAGTCTCCAAGTATTAATAAAAGAACCATTAAATTATTAGAAATATATAATGCATCTGTTCTCTAGGATGCACAAGAAAGAAATATATTTTTTGGTACTAGATCAAAATATTAATACAATTTTCATATATAGTAAAATTGAGAAACAAATCTAACACTAATCCAGGCTAAACTAAATACTCTAAAAAAATTGACATATTCCGTAAATAAACACAACTTTATTTATGATTATACATATTTAAATTATTATTATTGAAATATCAATTGAAACTAAGACCTACAATTGTTACATTACATTTTGAGTTTTTATAAAGTACAAAACTGAAATCATCTTGTAAAACAAGATAATATTGACCATTATCTATTGGTTTTTAATGTTGATATTCCAGAAAGATATGGTCCCGTTTAAAGGCATGATCTAAAAGGCCAACAATCAGGTCCAGAATAACCATCATCATTTTGATACAAAACCAACTTGAATATTTTGAAACATTAAACATGTATACTTGGATTTGAAATTCCTTATTACTAATTGAATATTGTGTTATTTCTACTGTACCATAATTACTAGTCGCTCTGCATGGAAGCCAAGAAAACATCGCTCTGGAGAGCTTGCCTGCATAGCTGCAAGCAGAGAGAACGTTTGTGAAAGTTATTGCATTGGGTGGTATGCCCTCTAGGTTCATTCTCAAGAACAAGTCTAAAGTGTCGTGGATCTGCCCGTGGCGGACATAGGCTGTGAGAATCCCATTCCACGACACTTTATCCCTTGATCTCATGTCCTCGAAGATCTTTCTCGCTTCTCTGAGATGACCACACTGTCCATACATGTGAACCAGCGCATTTTGGATCTTGGTGCTAAGATAATATTTATAGTCACTTAGCAAGCTCGCGTGAACGAGTTTTCCTTCGTCCACAGCGAGGACACTCCCACAAGCGTCGAGAGCACTGATGAAACAAGCCTCGTCCAGTGTAAATCCCTCCAGGTCCATGCAAACGAAAACTCGAAACCCTTCCTTGCCATGCCCGCTCTGGACATATGCGACTAGTAGAGCAGTCCACAAAACAACGTCTTTGCTTTCAGCACTGTCAAAAATCTCTCTTGCCCGATCAAACTCTCTCGATCTACTGTACATGTTTAGCAGCGAAGTTGCCACCATCAGGTTTGATTCGTATCCACTTTGAGCAGCAAAACTGTGAATCAGTCGACCAACCGTTAGATCTCCAGCGTCACCACAAGCTTCCAACACGCTCACAAAGTTAGCGTCGTCGGGCTTGACACCTTCGACGCTCATGAGCTGGAACAGCCGGATTGCCAAATTGGAATGCCCGTTCTGGGCATATGCAGCCATCATGGCATTCCATGTCACCTCGTTTTTTGTCCGCATCGCATCAAACACAGCCTTGGCCTCTCCAATATCTCCACATTTTCCATACATGTCGACCAGCGCAGTTCCCACTCGAACGTCACAAAGAATGAAAGTGGAATCAATGCTCTTGTGAACACTCTTGCCTTGTTCTAAGGCATTGCAACTGGAGAATCCATCCAGAATGCTAATCAGAGTAATTTCATTCGGTCGAATCCCTTCCTGATCCATGAGCTTGAATATGCAAAAGGCTTCTTTGGAATTCCCAGCTTGAGAGTATGCAGAAATCATTGAGTTCCATGAAACAACATTCTTGAGTGTCGAGGGCATTTTGTCAAAGATATCTCTTGCCTCGCGGATATGCCCGTTCTGGGCATATGCGGCAAGCATGATAGTCCAGGAGAAAACGTTCCTCTTAGAGATTGAATCGAAGACGTTTTTAGCATCGCTGATGCTGTTGCACTTCCCGTACATGCGTATGAGAAGGTTGGCAAAGAATGAATCGGATTGAGAAAGATATCCTGCCTCCAGAAGGCTTTGGTGGAGTTTCCTGCCTGTTGTGATCGACTTGCACTGACTGAGCAAAGCTTCATATGATCTTTTCTCAGTTTTCTCATGACAAACATCCACAAGGCTATTCCTCGATAGCATCCAACGGTTACCCCTTTTGAATTAAGAGTTTTGATCTAATATTTTTAATCTAGTAGGAGCTGTGCATCCAGGGTGAAGCATATCTGCGGTTGCTACTCTTGAATAGAATACTTAGAAGCTAATGCTTCTGATGGATCTTACTGCAAATGTAATGTTATCCCTTGCAGTGAAAGTCAATACAAACCTTTTGACAATTTAGCTGTGGTGGCAAATTCTCAAACAGGCAATGGTCAATCCTTCCTCGTTAAGGTTTCTACGAGCTTGCATAAATTTTTGTGCAAAGATGATTATATATATATATATGCTTGCAGACGCTCTTGTGGCTGAAATACTCGGCTGGCATCCTTGGTTTGCTGTGGCAGTTCTCACAGTATGTAGGTTCCAAGCTGCAACATGCTTGAGCAGCGAATTTGTCTTTCAAAATTGGATAGAAAACCTCTTGAATACTGCATATGTGCCATGGATCTTCCATTAAAAGGATCCTGCCTTTCTCCATTTGCAATTCCCTTTGTAATATGAAACAACTTTTGATGATCTGCAGACATCATTAAAATAATTCTTCTACTCTTAACCACCTGATCATTCATCTGATGTGTCTCACATAAAAGACATGTGCACAATCTCCTCATATCATTTTGGCCAACCATATTTTGCAGCTGCACCATGATAACACTCTTAAGAAGTCTCACCTCTTTTGTTTGTGGCAACAGCAATACTAAATGCTCACTCTAACAAACATAAGAGAGATACTGTGGTTTGTAGAACTTGCAAGTTACTATTAAAGGTTTATTGAGGGATTTGCTAGGGGTTCAAAATGCATAGTAGATATAACTGACCAACTTGAAATTTCTTGTTAAATGTATTTGTTTTTGTTCTGCATTTGCTTTAATCCCAAGTTTAGTAGTTGGTAGAGTACTTATATTTTTTATGTTATGTTGAAATAGCATTAACCTTCGTTTAGCATTATTTTGTGTACTAATTTTAATATCAAGATGCTAAAAGCTTTAGAATTGTTCCAATGTTGCACCACTCTGGTGTTTTACACTCAAGAGTTTTGTTTTGTTTTGGCTTAAAGCTCTAAAACTTAAGTTTTACTTTGTTGCCCTGATAATATTATATTAAAGTGAATTGCAAACAAGCTAACATTTTGTTGAAAAGTTCCTCAAATAGATGATAATTTTAGCAAAGTATGACTCTGAGTTTAATTTTAAAAAAAACATTTAAGATTGGCTAAAGCTTTGAATTATAAAATACTTCTAGAGCAAGAAGAGATCAAAAGAAAAAGATGATGAAGTCTTAACAATAAGTGTTAATATGGAAAAATATTGAAATATTTATAAGTTTTTAAAATCAATGAATTTTCTAAAAGGTTGAAAATGTGCTAAGAGGAAGATCATATGTAAGTCAAAACCATTCAGATTAATAAGTGATTAACTTTATTGAGTTGGACGAGACAACATGCTTCAAATAACAATTAGACAGAACGAACAAAAGGAAATCATGAGGCATTGCTATGAAAGATAATATAGTGAACACTCCTTCTATAATTATATAGCTAAGAATGCAAAATTTCTAGCTAACATTATTTTAGAACATGAATTAATGGTAAAGATCATATCATATTTGTCAAGTATTTGGAAGAAGAATCCCTCAATTCAACTAGAAGGTCTTCATTCAATTTTGTTGACAATACCATTTGAAAAATGGGGGATAGATTCCAATTCTTATAGTGGTATCACATAAAAAAGC